CATGGCAACTTTCCACTGTTTTGCTCCTGAGGGTGGGTATAATGGAGGTAAATTGACAAAAGCCGAACTAGTCTCTGACATCCTTAGCAGTGATTGCTTGCTGCCTGTGTCTTGGCATAGGCAGTGTTTGTGCCTCTAGTGAAGATCAGGCTTCACAAAATTCAGTGGCCAAATCTGGGGAAGCTTCCCAAACTCTAGCATCCTTAATTTGAACTCTTTCAAACCACTTTGAGGAAAAATAATCAACCTGGAAATTTTGAGCATTTTTTTTTTCTGGCTTTCTGTTGGGTTACAACCAGAGGATGCTATGAAACTGAAAAATAAAGGAGAAAAGAATCTTTTTGAAGGTCACTTTCCTTCTGGGGTTAGTTAAAAAATTTCAGAAGGGGCTGACTTGCTTAATTTTTATATATGAATAATGCAACAAAGGCCAATTATAGAAGAATCATGTCATGATACAATTTGCATGATTGCTGCTAAACTGGCCAGTATCTGGAGCTAAAAAAAAAAAATCAGCAGAAAGAATCGATTGTTCTTCTACTGATATTAAGCTCATCACTGATTCCTGGTCTAGGAGCAGACACGGTATTAATACTTCTTTGCAAATCCTGCCTCTACCTTTGTGCAAGTGCAATACCTCTGTTCCAAATGCTCCAGTGCATTCCATCTCAGGATGGTTGTGAAGCTTACAGGGCATAATTAGTTCCTGGCTTCTTAAAGAACTGAACCTAATGCTAACTTCTTGCTGGAACTGCAGGAACTGTAAAACCCACTGGGTATGGACTCATCCCACCACTTGATGGGTGACTGGGTTTCTCTGAGGATCATAAATTTGATTTTCATAGGGAACCCTAATGTTTGTCTCCAGCAAAAGTGATCTCACAATGACAGAATACAATAGATGTTTTCACTTAGCTGTAGGAGGTATCTTGTGTCGTTTATTCCCAAGAGACAATATGTGGAGCAGAGTAGGGGAACTGGAGATTTTCTTACTCCTTTCACTCCCTTAGGGGCCATGGGGTTAATCTAGCAGAGCATTTTTATCTCCAAACCGTAGCAATGTATGGCTCTTGGCATAATGAATCAGCTGAGTGGCATCAACAAAGAGATTTAAATAGATAGACAGAAAGATAAATATCTCTTTGTTCTGCCTGGTAAGCAGTGCATTGCTCATCATATTTCAGGATGACTGTAATTCAGTTTTGTGATTAAATATACTGCATGTTTTCCAGTGGTCCTTGTGTTCCTGGCAAACACTTCAAAGGGGGCTGGGATACAAGGAAGGGCTTCAGATTTTTTTTTTTTTTTGACAGTCATAAGACTTATCTACTGCTTCCTGTCATAGTTTTCTAATACAAGTTCAAACCCTGGCTTTAGAATCTGTCCTTGACCCTCAACACAAAATCAAAGTTCTTTCAAAACTGTGGATTTCTTTGTCGTATAAGCCCCTTGTTAATCTTTGTGCATCTCTATTTGGTATGTCCACATATTGGCTGTGCATCCGTGTTACATGCTCTTAGCTAACTGAACAGACTACTCAGGCCAGCTACTCTGTTACCACAACAGAACTATTTTCAATGGTTAGCATCACTGCCCTGGAAGCCAAAAGAGGATAACTAATTCTAGATGTGTGGGGCAATTAAGACCACAATGAATGTCTTCGTATTGCCTACCCAAATTTCAGTGGGTAGAACTGAAACTCCTGTAAAGAAAACAGTATGTGAGTGGTAGGGTTGGGGAAGGTGGTGAAGGGATGCCGGAAGACAGACCAACCAACCATGAATTGAACTATGAAGTATCATGCTTGGGCACTTGTGAAAGTTGCCCAGAAGGAAAACTTCCATTTTGACTGAACATACTTGCCAAACCCAAGAAGGTAATAGACTTTAATAAATAAATAAATAAAAATCAACTAAGCAAAAAGGGTCAAAAAGTCATAGGATGCTTTACCACTTACCACATGGATCGTGCGTACTCGCTCCAGGAGGGGTGAGTTCTTGCTGTCTACAAATCTGTGCAGTGCTGCTTGTACCTGTATGATTCATTTCCACCATCTGTATTTGTGCCAGTATATAGACAGATACACAAGCAGGTGCATCCATAGATGGAGGCACCAACAGACACAGACAGGTGGGGAGGCCTCCTTTCTCCATTCTGCCTTCTGGAGATCTTGGCATACTTCCTCCTTCATTTATTTGCTACTTTATTGACTATACAACTGAAAAAATCTGGAAGGAAAAAAACACTGAAAACACAGGAGAGCAAAAGAGAATCAATGGAATGAGACAAAGAAACAAAATTAATGCTTTCTTGCCCTTTCAGTTAAGTAATTCTCATTGCTTCTGATCAAAGTGCTGAGGGAGCCATTGTCCTGCCTCTCCCGTCTCCTTGCAGAACAGACTGCCTCAGATTCACTTTTCAAAGTGATTGTTTTGTTCTTAAAAGCGGTATGGAAAAAAATGAAGGAAACAAAACTGTCTTGCTCAGCTTTCTCTGTGCTTTTCATCCAATGATGAGGCTGATAAGCAATGGGGCAGTTGTTTCCTGCCCCCATGGAGCTAGAATCCAAATGTGAAATTTTGACCTGAAATAGAGGAAAACCTCACAAACACGCTTTCTATCTACAGGATATCTACAGTATCTATCCATCCATCCATCCATCCATCTATCTATCTATCCTATCTACAATAGAATTCTATTTAACTTCCCCAAGCTGCTCTATGCATGATGCTTTCCAATATTTCCCTCACCGTATTAACATTGACACAGAGTGGTGAATGCCAGGAGCTGTAAATCCTTAAATATAGTCCAATTTCATCTGCCTCTGAACAGTTAAGGGAAGGTCTGAGCCTGATCTCTACTGTCCCTACCTTGCACTGCCTGACTCTTCTTGTCATGTTTTAGATACTTATTGGCTTTTACAGAGCTCTCTGAATAATTCTTCAAGGAAGATTGACTGATTTAAGGGGCAGGTCATCCTACAGGTTAGTAAACATGACAGCTGGTTGAGGATTAACAGGAAATCATGAATAAAATCATTGGGATTTATAAGGGATTCTCAAACAATTAAGTGTTCTAGCAGAAAGACAAATAGAAACAAGAAACAGAATGAAGGTTAAAGGAAAAGGATGACCTACATGCTAACCACCACTGAGCCCCAAAATACAAGCTGTACTGGTAGAGAGAGTGTGAGAAGGTTAAAAGGGGGATATAGTGCTACAGAGGGATGTGGACCGCAGTGTAGGTATCTGGCATAGCTGTGCATAAAGAACAAGAAAGGAATACCTGTGGGACCTGCGGGTCAGTGCAGTGGCATATCAACAGGATGGTGTGAAGATGCAAAGCAGGATTAAAATGAGTTAGCAGGCTTTTGATGGTCTGGAACACTGTTTATTTCCTGCCTTGTGATGGCAAAGGTAAAGCAAAAAATGCAGGGTGAGACTAGGTAGGCCCTCCAATACCATCTTGAGTTAAAATTTGCTGATGTACCATGGCGAGAAAATTGAGATGTCTTCACATATCTTCCTTCTCCTTCCCATTATTTTCATGTATCATCGCTGGGATTGAGGTCTGCTGCCTACTAGCTGCTTTCTGGTTATTCTCTCCATGGCTTCTCTTTCTACTGATTTTCTTCATCCAGAATCTTACCCCTTTACGTTTTCTCTTTTCCTGGCCTGTAAATCCTCACTGATGACTTTAATGTTCCAGGTGTGAGAGGTTCTGGCACTCTGTTTAATGAACTGGAAATGAATTGGAGCCTACTAGCCCTGGAGAATCCATACCAAGAGCCATCTGTTGTGAGCTGCAAATGCTGATCGGTATTCAAGGAGCCGAGCTCCAGTCTCACATATGCTACCTGGCCCCTTGGTTGATTAGCGAGCTTCTGACAGCTTCTAATATGTGTCACAGTGAAGAGTGTCAAGACCAGTTGGGAAAGTATGTTTAGGCAGGGTTGACTTGAAGGAAGGGATTCCAGAGTCTGGTATCACTTCATATTTGTCCTGCGGGGCAGGGCAGGGGGCACTGTGGGTGAAGGGATGTGCTTTAGAATAGTCATATGAAAAAATTTATGTTTTATTGCAAGCTTTATAATCTTCTCTGAGCCCTGTATCCTGAAGCTGCATGATTAAGGGAACTTCACATCTTTTCTCTTATATTTTTATAAAACTACCTTTTATTTTTTTAATATTTTTTCATCTTTATGAAGTAAAACCTTTAAACTGGATCTGAGCATTACTTTAAACTTTTTCAGAACCAGAAAGAAACAGAAAAGAAGCCCAAACCGCTGTTCCTCATGTTGGTGCTTTGTTAACTTTTAAATGCCGTGGGTTTTATCTAGCCTTACGGTTTTAGGAGGGGTATGATTTTCCAGCATCAACTGACTCATGGCTTTCACTATACGTGTATGTGTGGGAATGTAGTTAGAAGTTAAATATAATTTCACTGGCTGTGACAGTACAGCTACAAGACCTCTGTATCTGTTGATCTCATCAATGTTTTCCGTCAGGACTCAAATAGAGTACTATATGAAGACTATATGATCTGTTGTCAACTAATCTTATTGTTTAGCTTTTTTCAGTCCTCGGGATCTTCCTTAATTTTGGAAATGCTTATGGTGTTGTGATCTGGATTAGGTTGTTTAGCACTTGGAAGGAGATAAGAGCTCTGTGCCTATGCCAGCCCTGGTTTGCTTAAAGGAAAATCTTTGTTCTTTAGGGTTCTGAGCAACTGTTTCCACCTAGACAGGAGACATTTCTGTCTAATTCCAGGAACTTAGCTTAACAAAGTAGAGATTTAAAAATGCTGTAAAAATACTTAACAAAGAACTGGATCTTAAACTCTAATAACACAACAAAATAATTAGCTGTGTCTATTAGGCAAGAAAGAGGAGCTGTAAAAACCTGAGTTTCTAAGCACTGAATAGCCATGTGGTTCTCAAATAAAATGAGTAGTCAAGAGAGTTTCAGCCCCTTCTTTCAGCCTTTCTTCTTTGATTTCAGAATCTAACAGCCGACGGGCAGTGAACAGAGGCTACCTGGGTGGATTGCTGAGACTCTATCAAGACTGGCATCAAAATGACATCTCCAACAACTACATCTATATTCGTAGGGGTCTCCTGCTCTGCCTAAAGCACATCACCAACATCCAGCTGGGCAGGGAGACTTTCCTTGGTTCCCGAGGTATGGAGATTCTCTTCACGAGTGTGCAGGTAAATGGTGCTCCTGTGCTGAAGTGAGATGGATTGTTCAGTTAGTGCTGGGTCCTATCTCACAGTGTAGAGTTCTACTGAAAACTAGGCATTTCGTCCTGCAGGGAGTGCTGGTCTTGTTCTGGATTTCTAGAACATATATGGGGAAAAAAAAAAAAAAGACAATGTCTAAATAAAAAGTATTGACAATTTTCAGTCAAATGAAAATGCTTCATTTTTCAACTAATTTTAATCTCTGCTGAGCCTCACAGAAATTGTAGTTCACTCTTTAATGATTTTTTTTCCTTCTCCTTTGTGGATCCTGCTGTCTGCTTGGACAGCCTCTCCTGAAGTGCAGTGCAGAGTCTCCACAGAAGAGTTTTTGAGGTGTTTTGTGACATGTTTCTTTCTGCGTATTCAGATGGATAACTGCGCTGAATCACTTTTTCCATGAAGGAGTGTTGATTTAGTCAGACTCTTGTTAATGATGAACATAGAATCATTTAGGTTGGAGAAGACTTCTAAGATCTTTAAATTCAGCTATTAAACTTCCAAAATGCATGAACTGCTTTTATAGAGGCCCAATTTTAATCTTGGGAAAGATGGTGTATGTCTGTAAAGAAAAATGACATAATCCCAAGGATGGGATCCCAGTAAGGTATAGAAAAGGTAGATTTAGAACATTAACGGTTTCCTCACAGTCCCTTGCCAACATACTTCTTTAGCCTCCATTGGAGAAGTCCTGCACAGAGAATCCTCTAGTTCTTGACCCATGTGATTCCACAAGGAGTGTTTTCATTGTCGTTCTCAATGGCCAGTGCATTATCTCCTTTCAGAACCATCACATACAGGATGAAAAACCTGTCCCTTTCTCTAGAAAATTAATTGCCTTGATATCCTGTGTATCTGCTCTTCCACTGTTTCTATTGCTATCGAGAACTATTCTCTTGTGACAAAGATACTTCTTACCAGCAGTAGATGATAGGATGGCAGGCTTTTTTTCCCACCTTCCTTTCAGGTGACCACAGTCAGCAGAGCTTGCAGGGAGTACAGAGACTTTTTATGGAGAGTCCCTGGTCTGCAGAAACTTCAGTAGGGTGCATGGCAATGGTTGCTTGAGGGTAGATGTCAGCATATCCCCTCTCAAGTGCTTTCTATAGCCCTTATTCCTTTCTGAGCTAACATCTCCTGATAGCTCAGCCTAGGAGCAACACCACAAAAAGTGCAAACATGGGGTCACATTGGGTGAATAACAGGAAATGACATACTAAGTATCCAGTGAACACTGAGAACGCTAATCCTTCCCAAAGTTAGAAGTGGAGCGGAAATGAGAGCTTCAGGGGCTCCCAGTTACTCTTTTCTACTGTGTGCTAATAGGTTGATCTTGGGGGAGGAATTACCAAGGTTAATAGATTCAAAGCTCAACCTTCCTTCCTTTCATCTTTGGCATATTGTCAGTCTTACAGTGTCTCTCCAAGATGTGAGGCATCAGGAGGAGTCTGGCAGCCATGTGAGATGTCACTCATGTTCTTCTTTACTCCCCTTCTTCTATACTCCCCTCTGTATTCCTGATATCATCTGTTAGAATCATTCTCTTTGCCTTAGTGTAATATTGAAGACTTTTTTTTTTGCATATATCACATATATGTCATAGTATCTTGGTAAGAACATTATAGCTTCAAAGATGGGAAGATTAACTGCAGATGCTGAAAAGCAGATCCCATGAATTCAGGTTAGCTTTACATGAGGTCTCAGAGCTAAGGATTCACTATGCTTCCTCATTCACAACATTCCCCTACAAAGTAAATGGGATACTTTGCACACATACAAAGCAAACGATTCTCTATTTCTCAGTTGTCAAAATAAAAAATGCTTTCTAATACAGTGATGCAACACTTTGCAGTCACCCGTAAACCATGTTATCTTGGAATCTCAGAGCAATTTATGATCAGTAATGAAAGCAGTCCCACAGATTCCCTGTAAGGTATCTGGAGGCTTGTTTGCATTTGTAAGTTAATTTGCTATAAAGAAAAATGACTTTCAAACAGTATTCTTGAATAACTCCACGTGTGGAAATTCATTGTCAGTATGAACATGTCTTGCTCTTGACTAGCTCAATTCACTTTGAAATAAGTAAAGATGGCTAGCCCAAGGCAGTCATTTACAGTCTTGTATTCTAGTAAAAACAGAACATTTTTAGTTAGTAAGATATGTCTTATAAACTATATAGTATAGTAAACTATAGTCAAGATTTATTCTGTTTTATTCTGTTTAGAGAAACTTTTCTTCTCTTTCAATAATGAGCAAACTAAGGTGCCCAAGCACCATATGAAAGAGTGAATAAATTGAAGAACTGGAAGTAGAAACCATTTCCCCTTGGTCTTTCTCATTAGCCACAATAGGACTTTCATTGGAGATGCTTTCAAAATTGTCTATTCTCTCACCCTTGTTCATAACAGCCAGAGATCTAGAAAATTGTATTAAGATTCTTGTAGTGTCTTGTAAGCATGTCAGCTTTAGATGATTTTTCTAGTCTCCCTACAGGAATCCTGGTTAATCCCACTGAATCTTTTAATGCTGTTCAATCATACATGAGAAAACAGAATAAAATCCTGGAGAAAAAAAAAAATAAAAAGTCAACACAGCAATTTTCCTGTTCTTGCTTATTAAGAAGCACTTTGTTTTTCTGGCCTATTCCTTGCTCTGCTGAGTTTTTCTTCTCTAGCCAGTGTCCTAACTATGGTCTGTGAGACAGTGGCCAAAAGTATCTACTCTGCCCTTTTGTCTGTTCCACTTAACTGTGCTGAAGGGAGGTGAACACTTTCAAATGGTATTAGAACTTATTTTAATATTTCTTTTTTGCGTTATAACACATTCATGCTGTTTGAATTACATTCCTGTTCTGGTGGGCTAAACTGTAGTTCCAACTTGATAAAGATATCAGCATGCTCATAACCATGGTACAAGCTGTGAATTTCAGAAAGATGCTGCATAGATTCATCAATCTGATGGAAGCTGTATAGATACAATAGATGCGCTATACTGGGGGGAAATATGAATGGTTTTCTGAGTAGTGCACCTACCGGTTTTAAACTTCCATACCCACCCCCAACCTCAAATAAATAAATAAATAAATAAATAAAACAAACACAAGAAAAAGATGAAAACATGTCACAAATGCATCTTCCGATCCAAATAATGTCTCTGGGAGATCATATCTTAAGCAACCAGTTCTTAACATTGGTTTCCTTTGGTTCACAGGACTGTTTATCTTGCAAAAATCTGGATCCTATCGTAACCACTGTGACTCAGATTCTAAGAAAGTGCTACCCCAAGGAGCCTCTGCCTGTGGTGTCAGTAAAAAGTTCCTATTCCTTCCCTCTTCCTGGGAATGTCAAGACCGAATCTCCATGTGTGGGATTTGAAGGTAAATTGCTGAAGGGTGAGTTTGGTAGGAGGAAAAGGAGCATGACATAAGAATTAAATGTGGGATCTGGGGAAGGGATTCTTGGCAGCATAGTCCTGAGTTTTGTGATTAAAATTAGTCTGGTGGCCTACAGTGGCGCTCAGCAGGGATGAATCCAATTCCACATCTTCTTGAGGTTTGGAGATTCTGTTAGGAGAATAAATCAGAGAAGATTAAAAGGACCAAGGGAAATAAAATAAACTATTCTATGATCCAAAATAATAACAGAACAGATAGGGTATGGCAGAGGCTGGAAATGTCATTGCTCCATAACAACAACAGAGAGGGAAGAAACGATATCTGTGCATGACTGTGGGGATAATGCTGCCCTGCAACTATTTCAGTAAAGAATTGTGGGAAGTATGATCCTTTTTCCTTTCTAAAACACAAGCAGATAGCAGGCAAATTGCTTGGGTAAATGATATATTTCAGCACTTGATGAAAATAAGAACTCGGGCACAGGCAGGACAGCCACTCCGCAGAAACAGACAGCAAACTCCATGATACACACAAGCAATTTCTCTGTTGTTTTCAGTTTCACATGGAAGATGCTCAGATACTATAATGATGATAACAGTAAAACACCCTAATCTAGATAACATGGATTAAGACCATCCTGTAATATCATTGCAGCCGAGCAGAAAATCTCTATTGCTTTGTAATATGAGTTGGATCCATATCGTGGTGATATTTGTCATGGTTTTGAAAGGCAGTACTTGATTCCAAGAGAACAGAGCTTTAAAAACAGAGAGATTTAGTGCCAAACTCATTTATACTAGATTAACAAATGGGATCTGCTTTAATCAGGGTTGTGATGGGTTATAGTTGGAAGGCATGTGAGCCACGCATGCGAGAGACTGCTCATATTTCTCTGGAGGGCTTGAGAGGGATATTAGATTGAACCCTTTTGGCTCTACCCCTTTTGTGCTTCTGCAGATGACTGTGAAAGTGATGGAGAGGAAGAGGTAGAGAAAGACCTGGATAAAAGCGACGTGGAGAGTAAGGAGGAAGTAGGTATATAAACAACAATTTCCTTTATTATCCGTATACTGCAAAATAAAACATTTCATTGTCTATTTTGATATCCTGATAGACCATATAATCAGAGAATGTAGATATGTACATAGTCTCATAAGTACACTATGAATAATAGAAGAATACTTGAAGAAAGAGAAAGGACTGCCTTTCACTGAAGAGCCCCCAACATTTATTGTATTAATTTCCAGGCTTGTGACTCCAGGTACAGGTTTGGTGACTTCTCTGTTCCTGAGACTGCCCAGTGACCGTTAGCATCACATGCACTGTCAGACATAAATTAGTGATCTTTGATTTCAATAAGTGTACATCATCCTCAGCACGGGATAAATGAATTATCACCCAGGAAAGACTAACCTCCTTTTTCTTCCCATATCAGAGCATATTTGTTGTATTCACCTATCCTAAGAACAAGGTTAAATGTTTTAAGCCACACCTGGGGCATTTGAACTTAGATTCCTTCTTTATTTGCTGCTGCACAAAAAAATAATAAAATGAAATATTCAATACTTACTTTGCCCTTTGCACTCTCTGACATGGCCTAACTGGCAAAAACAACAACAACAACAAAACATCATCAGCTGAGGATGAGTAGAAACTTTTGTCCTGAAGATACATACAGGCTCATGCACAAATGTGAATTAACGAATGCTGCTAGTAAGTCTTGTCCACAGAAAGTGTTTGGGGAAGGAAAACAAAAGAAATGAAGTTGCAAATGAAATGAAGTCTAATTAAATGTGATTGAGACTTCTGTGGAAGAGCTTTATCATTAGTTGCTCCCCTTTTCTCTTCAAGCACTAAACTGATATGTCACCCACTGAGAAAAGTAAAAACAGAAACAAAATAAAACAAAACAACACTATTACTTCACACCATAGTGTCCTAACCTTCCTCTCTGTTATTATCTATATATTAGAGGTTGTCAAGATGCTTATTAGGAATAAGGTTCATTGTGAATTTATCTCCTTCTTTAATTAGTTATTCATTCAGAAACAGAGCCTATATGCCTCTCTTCTGTTTCATTATTCACAAGGATTTACTGAGTAGAAGTGAGCAGTGTTTTGTTTGTTTTTGCCCAAGTTTACTCTGACTGAGTTTTAAGTACTATTTGTTGGGTGTGCTCGTCATACATCTCCCATGACAAATCTTTCTAAAGGGAAAACAAGAAGGGAATGAATAATGAACTTTCAGATCACCTTTTTGTATGAGATATCATTTGCACAGTGTTTCCTGGTACTAAGATAGCTTACAAACATGTTTGTGGCTAGCCACACATACTGGGTAATACCAAACAAGCAAATTTGGCTCTACACTTCCAGCAGTGACTGTTCATACAACTTTACAAAAATCAAAATTATCACCTCAAAAAACAGATCTACATCAAGTTTGAAGTTTTTTTCTGTATTATGTTGTTGATGATAAATCCTTCTGAACTGACCTCAGATACTCTGACCTGAGATGCTCAGAGGCTCTCACTGCCCTTTCAACTATGCCCAAAAAACAGTTCAAACTGCTCTGAAATACAGCTGTGGCTCAGGGTTTGAAACACCGTAGATGTTTTTGCATTCAGGAAAAAAATAAAAATAAAAATAAACATGGTAACAGCTTCAGAAAACAGTTTATCAGGAGTGAATAAATTCTTTGCTAGCATTTGGTGGTGCACACTTACTAATGCATGCTGAATTATTAAAATAATGTTGTATTGTAATGACCATTTGATAATGTCATGTCTCCATCCTTCATTCTTGCCTCATCTTTTCCTGGTTACTTATGCAAAAATGGAATGCTTGGCACAGCTTCTTTTTGGTTCTGGAATCTGATATGGAGGTGGTTACACATCAATTTGATCCTCTATGGTTGCTTTTGAATGTGAAAGTTTCAGATACAATTCTTATCCGTGCTTTACTGATAACTACCTAAAAGTGATTTTTCATATATTAAAAAAAAAAAAAAAAAAAAAGAGTATAGGAAAAGGAGAATTGAGACGGGAACATAAAATATGAGCAATTGGTTCCTGCAAACTCAGTGATGCTGAGGTGGGCCCTTCTGTTTGATCAGTAGGTGCTCAGAGACACAATTTGGTTATCTAAATCAGAGGTAGAAGTATCAAGCTTTCTAATTTCTCTGGTAGCCTGGGAGGCCATTTCATTCCTTTGATATATTTGGGGAATTTTCTTGGTGAATATATATTTAAATTATCATTTCTCTAAAATATTACCATTTATCTCTGGAATAATATACTTGGTTTTCACAACATAAAAAGAATGGTTGATATGCTTGAAAAGAATTAGTCAGTTGGTGTCTCTTATTTTGGAACCTCAAGCTGAGCTGCTTATAAATAGGTTCAAGTTTCAGTGAGTGGGTCTTACATACTTTTTAAAAAATAAGTTTTTGGGTTTTTAATTGTACTTCTAGGTAAGTACTTGAATATTAAAACATCAAATTCCTCTTTTTCACCATCTAGCCTCTCCTCTTGTCCATTTTCTTTCTTGTCCTATTTTCCATTCCATAAATTGACTTCAACAACCTTCATGAGTAGGCCAGAATGGTTGTAAAACATATGCCATTAGAAACAGAGAATGCAGAATAATACTTTCACAGTTGTTTTGTGGGACATGTTCAATATATGTACTTTTTAAATTCTGTGTTTTTAGGATTATGACTTGGAGACAGATGTTAACAAATTGAGGTCAAGGCCAGTACCTGACCGGCCAGAGGAAGAGCTTGGACAATATGAAGCAATGTGCCTAGAACTTTTCCATAATTTTCAGGTACGATTATAGCATGACTTCCTTTACTTATGAATATTCAAGAGGTTAAGAAATACTTGAAAGGGAGTAATAACAACAGAGAACCAGAAGACTATTGCAAAAGGAAACCTAGGTGTCTCATGGGACTGGAGAAAAAAAAAAAAAAAAAAAAAAAAAAAGACTTTTTGTTGCAGCTTATTGGCCTGAATCAAGACTGATAGAAAGGGAGTGATGTTGTTTAGTGCACATTTGGCTGGATATGGATTAACTAAGTGCTACTGAATCAATTGCCACATGAGAAATCTGTCAGATAATAATTTGTATCTTTGCTGGCAATTTCAACAGCAATATCAAGATCAGAATGAGATGTGGAAAATAAATGCTGTCAACTAGCGGTTTGAAGGAAGTGATGGAGAAGATTGCATTGCCACTGAATGAAATGCACAGTTCAAATCATTGCTCTATTGCAGTTTGGGACAAGAAATGAAGAAGGGTGTTGCACTTGTTAAAAGTCTCAGAGAATTTAGGAGAGTTCAAATCTGTGATTCAAATATGAAGCTGGGAAGGGCCATTGTCTTAATGTATCACTTGTACACATGATGCTGTCACATTTATTATGACCATAAGTAACTAAATAGGTTTAAATTATACTCTTGCGTAAAGGCAGGGGTGGAGTTTTGCATGACAGATCAACCTCCTTTAGCCTGCTGTAACAAAGGCAGCCTTTTGTGAATTATCTTCCCTAATTTGTTAGAACAATTGGTTTTGGTTGGAGATGACTCATCTAGATGACTCAGTCTGATCCTCTTTATATTCTGAGGACTACTGCTGATACAGCTTTGTGGATAGAGAAATTCTGGCAGGTGGTCCATGGGCTGAGTTTATTTTGGATGTCTTATTGGATAAGTACAGTTCTGGGAGATTTGTAAATATTTTCTTTCTTCCTTGAAGCGATTCCTCTGGAAAGAGGAACAATCTGTCTTTAGTTTCTTTTAATTTCTTCTGCTTTTTAAATTTAAAGGAGCTTCAATCAGAGTCTGAAGAAGACAAGAGCTTGGAGGACAGGACTGAAGATCTTCCCTCCACTCCTTCTCGTTTCATTCCAAGTGACAATTCTGTGAAACATCCAAACTACAGATGGAGGAACCAAAGTGCCACAGAGGCAGGACCAGATCCAGGAGAGAAGAATTTCAAAGTTCCACTACAGAGCTGGACAAACAAAGAGAAATGCAGACAGGATATAATTGATGAAGAGAGAGACATAGAAGCAATCCAAAATACAGACTCCCGTGAAGAGGAAAATCCAGCCAAGAGTCACGTGTTTACTCTGCGCCCTCTCCCAAAAGAGACTGCTTGGTACAAAAAAACACTTAACCCTGAAAGTGAGGCTTCAACTGATTCTAGTCCAGGAGAGATACTCGAGACCTTAGACACAGTGACAAACCTGCTGGAGGAGCACCAAGAGAATATCCCATTCCATAACCCTCACTTCTATGTAGCCAGGGCAAAATGTATCAAGTCCATACCAGCCTACAAAGACTTGGCATTCCCTGATTTCTGGGGTCACCAGCCACCGCCCTGTGGCAAACCCATGTTGGAGCGACAGTATGGGGTTCAAAGGTGATTGTGCTTTAATATAATTAGGTTTTGACTGTCACATTTCTGAATTTCTGAGGAAGTTATAGAACAAATTTTGGACCATTTGCCACAAAGAGGCCACAGAGCAGGATGCTTTCATTTAGATTTTATTCTTGAAGAAAGGAAATTTGTTCTCCACAAATGAGAACAAGTTTACTTTAGAAAGACAGAAGACTGTCCTTTCAGGATACTTTTAAAAAAATATATATTTATTTTTTACTTTCAGTCTTCTAATCCAGCGGCTTTTAGTGCTTGCAACAAAAGGTTCCCTCTTGTTCTTTGAGGAAAAATCCTTTCTGTCACCTTAGACCTGTGTGTCTATGTCAAATTGTTCTTGGGAATCTTCCTGTCTACCCTTTTGTTGCTGTGTCCCTCCTCGCTGAGTCTCTTGCTCTCTGCTTGCTTTATGGGGTGCTCCAGAAGCTGCTTCTCCTCTTCTTGCACATATACCTGTTTGTGGTGAGGGTATAAGTAATGACTCTTCTGGAAAGTCCTCTGTAAGCCAGAGAGAGCAGCAGCTTGAACAAGGCAAGTAGGTTGCTTTCCTTCCCTGCTGCGCAGTATTCTAGGAAAAGACAACATATATGGCATGCAACATGCAGCAAGAATGAAAACAAGACTTCACTCTGGCACATTGCTAGAGGTTTCTGTTGTTCTTATGTCATTTCAGGTTACAATGGAGGGGAAAGCCATGTTTTGAAGCTGTGCTGAGAAAGAAAATTCTTCCTATAACAACTTATTTTATTTTATTGTTTTCTGTTCCATGTGTGGTTGCATGCAATGACTTCACATTTCTTTTTAGCAGCATAGAGATTTATTACCAAAAAACAGAGACTGACCATACAGGGCTCTTAGCTAAACTTCAAAGTTGATCAACAGTAACAAAATGGGATTTGTGAAGACTACTAATTTCTGACCTCTAGAGAGAGAATTCTTTCTGCGGAAAATATAAAATCTAAAAGTCTTATTTAGAGGCAATTCATTCTACCATCGCCTTGCACTGTTGCTCTAAAAGCTTTGTTTTTATGCTTATAATAACATGTGTAACCATACAGCTAAAATAGAAATCATCATATCATGCTTTAGGGCATAACATGATTGCTGCAAAGGTCAGAAAATACTTCTGGCGTTTCACGTCTAAACTTCTTTTGGAATCAGAGAACCTCAGCTTAATAAAGAGTAGAAATTAGCCTCATTTGGAGTCAAGATTCATGGTGAGACAGCCTACTAGGTCTATAGCTTGCAGAAGGTATTTTCTTGTGGGGCAAGGCTAGCCAGTTGGAAGATTGAGATTGACTGGGAAGAACTGGGGATAAATCAGACTTGACAGAATACTGCAGAGAATAAAAATTGTACAGAATCAGTCATTTAATCCAAAAGGAAACTTGTGATAATGGGAATGGAGTAGGAGCTTTCTCTTGGTTAAATAAATAAATACAGATGATGTTCACCTGGAATTAGCACACGGAAATCCTCTTTCTTACCAGTCCTTCAGAAGAATTTCCTAAGAATTTCCTAAGCCTCTTCATATTTCTTTTAGAAGATTACCATGTACTGAGACTTCTCACAATGTCCTTACAATTCTTTTTATTTTATTTTTATTTTTTTGTAGGGACAAAGTACTGGATGATGTTCGCCGCTTAATCCAGCCATGTGATGTGATAGGCAGAACTGTTTATGATCTAGATGAGCCCAGGTGGGTAACATAAAAGCTCAGTACATGGTTTACTTGATTTATCTCAGATAAAGGTATACAAGAAGTGACTTAGGTGGTAAAACCCAACAGGAAGCATCTACTGGAGGAGTAGGTTCCTGGTACATGGCCCTGGGGAAACAATTTATTTTGGAAGGCCAGTGGATTGGTCCAAGAGGGCCTCAAAACTTTTTTGACAAACTAAGAAAATCAAAAAAACAAAGGGATTGCATGGTGCCCTTGGATATGTCTGCATTGCCTATGCTGATTTAGAGAAGACACACAGGTTAGCACTTGGAATTGTAGCTATGAATCCAAACAGTCTACCCCCACCCTGAAGTGACACCTAGGCTGAACTGACTTTCTGCTGAGTGCATTTGAGCATCTGTACTGCCAGTGTCACAGGCTGTAAATGTACCCTGAAAGGTGGGACACATTTAAAAGCTTCTGAAAACATACATCAGAGTTGTGTTCAACCCTGAGCAACAGAATTGTGAAGTTGTTCAAGATGATTATAAGGGTTTCTAAGCTTTAGGAGAAGGAAACTGTGTAGATGTGGGAAGAATAAATGGAAAGCTTGCATAGAGCTGCCTTGTGTAATTAATGAACTAATGGGAAGCTAATGAACTAATAAGTCAGCTATGAAAGTAACTGGAATAAAGAAAATAAATAAGAACTGGGACAAAACTGAGTATTGGGAAAGGAAAATGAGATTAGATTTAGTATTACAAAGCAAGATTAGAGGATGCTGCATTGAATGGAAAGACTATGGATTTGCTCATCTCTTGCTACTTCGAAGGGTCTTGCTTATTAACAAAAATTTACTAATTCTTGTACTAGCATACAACGGGTGATGGTGAGGACTTGTCTTTGAAGCAACCTGCTATAGGTATTCTTGCTTTGATTTACTGCAGTCACTCAAGCCCAGGTGCTCCAGGCTGTCTGACATTCTTCTCCAAGTTTGAATCAGGAAACCTTCGCAAAGCCATCCAAGTGCGTGAGTAAGTACTCCTTCAGTGGCTGTGTCCCAGCCAGCCTTTGTGCTGTGTCCGCAGCATGAAATGCTGGAGTTTTGCTGGGTTCTAAAAAGATCAGCTAGGGAAGTAAGTTTTATGATGCAGAGGTTATGACGCCTGCCAACACTTAGATGTTCTGAAAGAAAAAGAAGTAAGAAGAGCTCAGGAAGTTTTTGTGTGACTGAAATATGATGAATATTTCATGATGAGTTTGGGTGCTGGTGGTTCGATGGAGCTCTTAGACTCTTACAATTTATTAATGAGTTTGTTTGTACAGCCTTCTCTCCTTGTCAGGTTCAGTGGCAGATTGGGGTGTTCATGGACACTGTTTCTTTGTCTTCCTTAACAGGTTTGAATATGACTTAATTATGAATGCAGATGTGAACAGCAACCAGCATCACCAGTGGTTCTACTTTGAAGTCCGTGACATGAAATTAGCAGTTCCCTATCGCTTCAACATTATCAACTGTGAGAAGTTCAACAGCCAGTTTAATTATGGTATGAGTCTTTGGGGAATTGGGATACTCTTCTGTTCACATTAATATCTTTTTCATGATGTAAAGGCTTCAAAATTTCCATGTCTATAAGTAAAAGGGAGACTTTAAGTTTCATTTTACTTGCCCTGAAATCCACTGAAAGAGTTATTTTACATTTGACAAAGAACATTTCTGCATCCTCAAGAGGACTGAGGAGTGAATTGAGTATTGAGAGACGATTTGTGGAAAAAATATTCATTGTTCTGTGATTAGTGACCAGAACTGAGAAAGAATGGCACTGGCATTGGGATAGGAGAGCGAGAAGGTCTGCTGAGATTGAATGAGCAGAATAGGACTGGAGAGATCTTTTAAGATTTAAATAAATGTGGGTAATGCTCAAATATCCATGATTACTTGGGTTTATCCAGAAAGACTTCTCTGTCTTCAAACACCATGAAACCTCTGCTGATTTAAAAAATAAATAATAAATAAAAAATAATCAATAACTAGCTGTCTTTGAGCTTTTTTCATAGTCCATAGTTAAGGAGAAAGGTTGCATTGCTTAGAAATAGGCAGGGCAAATCCCAGCTTTCAATGCCTGTTTTAGCAGAGAAATTATTTCATCTGTATGAAGATTGTGGGTTGAATTCTGAGCTGGCATAGGCTGTTTTTAAAATTAGTTTCCATGGAGCTGTGTTAATTTACACCAGCTCAAGACCTGACTCAGAATGTTCAATAAGTCCTTAATATCAGACTCTGCATTCCTCTGAAGCTCTGTGGATACATCTTTCAGCATTACAAGGGGAACTCTCTCAGGATCAATGTACCTAAAACAAATAGCACTGGGAGCTGGAATGACTTGTCACTTGTATTTGTGAAACTGTCTGGATGAATGGCATAATGAATTATAAGGCATTTACTCTTTAGCCCTAAGGGCTGGAGTTCAAGTATTCATATAGATCCCAAATGAAAACAATTTTTTTGTTGTCATCTTATTCTGCTTCCCTAAATTACCACCATTAAAAGTGCTGTGTCTGGTAGCAGCCTGAATATGAAGTACTTTGGGGTCTTTCCCATTGCAAAACCCACTGCCACCTTCAATACAGCCACTGGTGGCTCCATAGCTAAAGATTCTGGCTTGTATCACTGGAAGGTTGCTTGTTAATCTGCTATTTTGGCTGTTGTCAGCATTTATCACCTCATTTTGTGTATCTGAAATTGGACATGACTTGCACATTGAAGCGTATAATGAAAAATACATATTTGGAAGAAAAATATGAAAATACCATCCAATGTAATGAAGTTACGCCTTGGTTTGGTTTTGTATGGCTTGTTAAGGCATTTCTTCTGTGGTTTGATTCTGCTGCTTTGAGAAGTTACTCAGGCTCTAGCTTATCTGGCATGGCTGAGCAAGGCTTACTGCCTTATCCAGCACATGCACAATATTTACACAGACTGTGGGTACAAGATATTGCTTTACTGTTAGCTTGATGCTTGCCTGTGCTAATGCCCATACCATAAGACTAGGAGCTTCCAGTCACGATTTAGTAATGGGTGTCAATACCTTACAGCTCCTGGTCACTAGTCTATTTTCTTCCCTTCCCTTTTGACCTCAGTTAGATGGCACTATCTAATTCTCACACCAGCAAAAAAGGATATTTCATGAAAGAGTTGTGATGATGAGCAAAGCAAGTCAGGAAATATGGCTTCCAACTCCCTCCTTCCTTAATTTTCCACCAACAAATTCTACCCTGGAAAATATTGATATTGTTCTCAGAAGCCTGATTTGTGTTTTAAAACTGAATGTTTCCATGAGGAAAAGCAGTTTTTCTTTTTGGACTGAATTAAGATGGTAGACCACTATCAATCATTGCTCTGAGGCAGTTCAGTGTGTATGTGTCTTTGTGCTCAGAGAAGGGCAGGAGCTGGAATTTGGAATGCTTAGGGCATTGTAGATCTTGAGCCTCGTATTCCTTGTCTAATGAACTGGGCTTCTGGGCAGGTTTGTGTCTCCCACAGCTCACTGTGGCCCATGTCCTGGAACCAAATGCAGGATTGCTTATGTACGTGGCTCTGGTTCAGGAAACAGCAATTGAGAGGTTGCTCCCAGCTTTATGCTAGCTAGTGCTACCCCACAGCCAAAGGTGAGCTGGAAAGGCATTGCTGCCAGTACACTTGCCAGCTCTTAAAGCTCTGGGGAGATTAACAGAGAAACCTAAACAAAGAAAGGAAACTAAATGGATGCTTATGGAAATACATCATCAGGATGAATGACTTTCATGTACCACCTCCTCATGGCACAAGAACAGTCAAGAGACGGGTTGTGCATCATGTTGTTGATGTGCATAAATATCTGACAGGAGTTATCTGTAAGGGTGTGTTTTGCCGTCTCTAAATTGTGTTTTCCTAGAGGAGTCATCAGTGCCACTGCCAGGCGTAGCTGTGGCTGTGGTGGGGCCTGCGGCAGAACCAAGAGGAACTGATCTGGGGCGGCCTGGTCTCTCTTGCACTGCCCACACCTTGCTGGGGACACCCAGTGCAGAGAGCTTCACTGGTGTACTGAACCAGTAACAGGGCAGGAAGGTGTGTGAAAGAATTTGATAGAAAAACAGCTTGCAAATGGGCTGGCATCATGGAGCTGGGAATAAATGTATGCAAAGTTCGGACAGAGCCTCATACCCTGGGGCCTGAAGTGGTAATATTTTGGAGGTCAGGAAGAAGTCATCTTCCGATATAATATGGTACAAAGACAGATGCTATCATTACCAGCATTTATAACGTGACCAGTATTATTTAGGTCTAATGGAAAGTTTAAAATTGTACTCTGAGATAGTTAGTTTTGCTTGCTGCTTTCAGAAGGTGTGTTACTAGGTGCACCACAGGCCTCTAATGTTGTGGCAGGCTTAAGGATTCAATAATGGTGCAGCCAAGCATGAAATACTGGACTAGCCAAATCACTGATCCGTTTGATATGTTGATTCTTATTCTTTTCTTTTCTCCCTTCTTCTGTTTGCTTGTAAACAGAGCAGCTTGAAGCTCTCCTCTGCAAAGGCCAGCGGGATAATTTATTTTCTAATGAACTCCATTCAGCTCACTTCTGGCAGTGTTTTTTGTACTGACATGGCTGCATCAGAACCAAGCATGGGGTTTAGGGAAACGTATTTACTTTGCATAAGCTATCTGCAGAGAGCATAGACAAAATAATGATCCTTCTTGTTTTCCTTTTTCCTCTCCATCCTTGCCTTTTCCAGCCGGGGAGGTCATGTCATTTGAAACTATCTTGTTTTATGCAGGAATGCAGCTTGTTATGTATTCGGTGAAGGAAGCTCTCCTTGGCAGGCCTCGCTGGCTTCGAGCAGGGCATGATATCAGCTACTACAAGTAAGTGCATTTTTGATGAATAATTTGTAGATTCCCTTCTCCACAGTTCCCCTCCTGTTAACCGTATTGATGTTGTTAACCTTTGACCACTAGTGCCACGTTTCAAATGTCTCTAAATTAATGTTAGTTCTATGTGTTATGTGCATCCAACTTCAGGAAACAGCTACAAGTGAGATCTCTAAATTAGATGCCTGAAGAGAAACAAGGCACATGCAGAATTCTCTTCCCTAGAAGGAAGGCACTTTGTCTTGATAGCACAGACAATAGTGATTAGCCTTACCCACTGCCATATGGGAACTTTTATCTTTGTCTCAGGGGTCAGAAAACAGGGGTGTAAAGCAGTTCTGACAAACTTAGGGCTGATGCTTACATAAACTGCCTGAGTCTCAGGCTGCTTCTGCAATTTTCCAGAGTCTCTGAAAAATGCTAAATCAGTCTCATCTTCAAATTATATTTGACCTGGAGCTTGATTCATGTGAGATTCTCTCACCTACGTATTTCATTTCCACATGGCAAACTGATCCCATATACATACATCCTGGTTATTACAGTCAAAGAAGAGAAGTGAAGGACTTAGTTTCAGTAGGTTGAATGAACACTTTTTATTTTTCTCAAAGCTTCTAAAATGTCATCCACAACGCTTACTAATTATTTTGCCAGTGAAGATTGAACGGGCTTTCAGGACTAGGATAAATGGTATGTTTTGTGTTAGTCTCGACAGAGTTGAAGGTTAGGGGACAAAATGGAACAAGCAGGAAAATTATAGGGGTGAGTAAGGTGTTTGGTTGGGTACCTGTGTGTGGGATGTCTGGGGATGATGTAGCCTGGGGCAAGGCAAGCAGGAAGAAGAGCCCTCTGCAGGAAAGAAGAGATCATAAATTGGGATTGAACTGGTAGAGCATTATGGGTCAAACTCACATACCTTGTAATAAAATGTTGCAGCATTTGGGGTTAATTAACTAGTTTATCCTGGCTTTAACTATCATGACCTGAAAGCTGGGACTGAGAGTGCCTGAGTGACAAGCCTTCCTGTGTGTTTTTTTTTTTTTTTTTTTTTTTATTCTTATAATTCCCATATTGTTTTTTCAGTCATGATGCCTGTTCACCAATTTGCATCACAAAAATGCCTCACTGTCTCAGCAGTCTGTGGGTGGTGTATTAGGCAATGTATAAGCAAAAGAAAAGTCTGATCCTTGCCCCAGATACCTCGTGGTTAAAATATAGGTCTTGGGCTACCAAGTAACTACAGACTGAGAAAAGCATGAAAACTGAAGGACATTAACACAATTAATAACAATAACTGTCTGTGGCAAGATAAGTAGTGATCTTAGAGGACAGAACTGAATTCTTTTCATGCAGTAAACTATATGAATTTCTTCATGAGCTCATGTGATAAGGCTGATTTTAGAAACTGAAGTGAAATAATGGGCTTTCTCCTTATAAGAAGTTGTATTTTTGTTGTAGCTAAAATTTTTGCTGTAAACGTTAGAGATGGCTATGTTCACAAATGCATTTGGTGAGACAATAATCCCCTACGATGACAGAGGGCTGCCTTCCAGAGGTAGCAGAGCCTCAAATTTGTGTTGCTAAAGAGAGAGGAGAGGGGAAAAAAAATCTTGGTTGTAATCTCTTTTCTTTTGAGAGACAAGTTGTGTGTCTAAGGATGAGATTATCCTCTTCCAACCTGGCATGTTGTTCGCAACAATGAGTTGCAATTTCATTTTATTCCAAATACTCCTTAATAACTTTATTCACCTGACCTTTTTGACCTCTGGAGGTGTTCTCTCAAGAGCTAGTGTACTGTGGTGCTGTGACTTCCCTTTGCATGCCTGTAACCTCTGACTTTGAGCATTGGCTTTTGGATGCATGACAGAATGGGCAACATCAGCAGGTGCAGGTTGGGCAAACTTTACATGCTGATTACCATAGCAATGGTTTCTCATATCATTAACAAGACAGCTATTGTGTAGTGATTAAACCAGCAACTGACTTCCAAGATTAAGCCATGATTGTACAATTAAGCAAGTAATCAGATTCTTGTTCAGAATATGAGAGAGAATGGAGTCTTATTGATTCGGTGTTTTCTAACTCTACATTGGATTATATGTCAACATGTTCATTTAGGGAAATTGCTCGTTTTCCCATCTACTGTTTATTCCAGGTTTACACATAGTCTTGTGTGCACAAGCGTACATATCCGTACACATGCACTCTCACTTCTGAAATTCTAATAATTTTTAGTGATTAACAAAGAGGTTCCCACTCAAGAGAAATTGTAGTATGGCAGGGAATATAAAGAAAGTATGTATGTGGTTGCTCAGATTATGGTTTCCAGTTGGGATTGCTGTAGTAATACCACGCTGCTTGTGTTTTTGTGAAAGCAGCTCACTTCATTTCTATTTACCCTAGTCACATGTATCCTGGGGGAGAGCCTGGCAGATTTTGAAGGAACTTCATCTAATTACTTTTACCAGGGGTTATTCATGATTTTGGAATGCCCTTAACTACTTTTGCTGAACAGCTGTGATTGAGAGCAACCTCTGAGCTGAAGGACAGTGGGAGGAAAGGCACATTCTCGGGATGTCTGGGTGATGCACGTTGGCTGATCTCTGCTGACATTCATCTTCACTGAAGATAGGATAGTTCACTCATAAAGATGAATGTTGTGGCACAGCTCTGTCACTGCGTACCTTTCTCATATGTCTCATGAGAGAGTTTTTATGTTACAGAGAATATTAGCAGTGCTCTTGTCAAAAGGAAGCTGAGTGACACTTCTGCTCTCCTTTATTGCCTCTCCATGAAGTGACAGGATACACCCATGATAAACAGAGTTGCAGTTACTATAAGATCATCTAATTCACTTGCTGTCTTGGCAGCTTTTATGCACTGAATAATATTCCTTTCCAGCAAATTATTTAAGGAACAATGGCAGCATGCTGAATTGGAGACAATGTGCTTGTGCCTTTTGGTTTCATGGCTCATTCTAGGCATATTATCTAACCTCCAGCTTTTCCAGACAATAGTCAGTTCACAGATAGTAATGAGGTACATGGAGTGTTTTGTTCGCACATCACCACAAAAAACTTTGCTATTTGGTGATCACAGTGGTGTCAGAACGAGGTCTTTTTTTCTCTTCAGCATCTTTGTGATCACATAAGAAATCATAATTAGCAGATCACATCTCCATTCTAATGATACCTACAAGAGTGCTGAGACACTGGCTGTGCCTGACAATCACAGTGTGAGTGTAGGCCTTAATAGCAAGATCGTTATGGGAATATTCTGCTTTGAATGGGATTCTGCCTACAACTTAGAAAATAAAGATGACTTAACATGAATTAGCCCTTGAAAGGGAAGTTGTGCTTCTCCAGTTTCCAATGTGTCAGGCCCCAGATAATAGCTGAATTTATGTATGACCAATAAATTCTTAAAATACTATTATTTTACGGTGTAAACAAAGGCGTTATTGAAGCATACTGAAGGTAGCACACTTAGATGTAAGAAGATCAGGTCCTGTTGTAAAATGAGGACACCAGATTCCAGACGGTACATGGATTTTGGACAAAGGGAATGCATCAGTGGTAAAGTGATGAACAGTTATTTTCAAATTAGTCTCTTTCAGGTGGTTTGGAAATCTGGGCTATAGATATTTTCTTCTACATTGATACCATGCTGTTTTCCATCGCTTACCAGTGCTATTTACTATTCTAATTATTGCAAATAGAAAGTAAAGGGACAAGATTAGCAAGACATGTTGTTCTTGTATTGCTTGGTGCTTTTGAATTCCTGAGTTAACATCCAGCTCCTTTACTGACCTGCCAAGTAGCTTCACCTGTATGTGTCTCAGTTTCCCCGTCTATAAAAGGTGGATAATTAGAGTCACTTATCTGCTACCCAGAGAATTGAAACAGATAAATGGGAGGCAAATTTTAATTAGATAATGCTTGCAGAGGTCTTTTAAACTCAAAAAATTACTGTATGGAGTAAATGATAAGTATTATTATTAATTAACTTTCCATCACAGCTGTATTAGAAATATACTACCTGTACATTATTTCTTAAGGAGAGCAGTAAGCAAAATGATTTAACGATTATGATGTGACTGAAAGGCACAGTAGGTACAGCTTGCATGCTGATTTAAAAAAAAAAAAAAAAAAAAAAGGAAAAAGAAAAACTCTTTGGTCTCTTATTTCCTTTCTAATAACAAGTATATTAGCTTCTGGAAAGCGTGTGAGACTTTGGGAACATTTTTGGAAAGAGACAACAAATAAGGTAGTGAGGACCTAATGTTGCTATGGTCTATTTTTTGTTTCCTTCTCTCAGGACCAAACAGAAGAAAAGTGAAAATACTACATTTATACTTTCCAGTCAGAAAATAAGATCCTGCTGAATGGTGTTTCAGTTCATTGGGAAAATTGTATCATCTGTCAGTGATGCTCAAGAGTCGTGGTCAGGATTAGGTCCTCATCCTGCAGGGTGCTCTAGAAATGCACAGGGAAAGGCAACCTCAGCTCCCCTAAAAGTAGACAAGGATAGGTCAGGACATGTGGGTGGAGGATAGCACTGATGCTCACCTACTGAGATAAATCTCATGCCAATGTTACAATGCTAGGTGGGCTGCAACACCAGCAAAGCCCGAAATAATAACCTCTTCCTGGCTTGCTAATTTGTGTTTCCTGCTGCTATGGTAGTGTTGAAAAAGGGGCGTTGAAGAAAAAGTAGCAGTCTGGTGGAGTAACAAGGAGGCAATAGAGCCATCTTGGGGTGTCAGCAGTGGAAGGAGAGAGGGAGGCAAGGAAAAAAAATGCTGTTTTTAAAGTTTCCTTTAGAAAGATTCAGAGCTGCTGCATTTTATGATGGATTGTGAGGAGACCAGATTATATGCAGGATGAACACATGATCATTTATATTGCTTACACACAGGTATTTTTTCTTTTTAATGTATGAGTGAAGAATGCTGAAGCCTTACAAAACCACTTGTAACCTTCCTGTTACTACCAAGCAGTTTGCTGTAGATTGAAGTAGGTGTCAAGAAGTGATTAAAAAATCTAGAAATATCTGTTCTGAGTGGGTAGCTTTCTGGAACTGCAGAGGTGCACAAAACAAGAATGAAATGTGATGCTAAGCATCGAGGTTTGAGAGCTATGCATCCATACACTCAGGATCATGAGATCTGAGATTTGTCAGGAGTGAGCAGCATGGACTGCCGGGTTAGTATCAAGGTCAGAGGTGTGTGGTGGTGCAAAGCTTCTGGTTTAAGTGTCCATTTTATACAGGGAGAAGCCTTTACTGGACCATTAGGGACAGGCAGGAATACTTTCCCAAATGTGCATGGAAGATATGTAGGCAGTATCTTTCTGCAAAGTCCTGCTTCTCCTAACATCTCTGACTACAAATATAAATTTAGATGGAAGAACTCAGAAGATCTCAGCACTTTATGAAACTATTTCATAAGTAATGTTACCTAATTTTCCAAGTGACACTGAATATAATAGACTCCAGGGAGATGAGTCCTTTCCCATTGTACAAGAAATGGTTCTTAATTATCCTTTACTGACAAAACTAACAAGAACTAAATCAAATGGTATTGTCCTGACCTTAACAACAAACCACCACCACCAAAAAAAACCACCAAACACTTTCACATCCTGGATCCACTGAAATATAATAGCTAGGTAGATGTTTCTATATATATTGGATTCATTGCATTTTTTATCTGACCCTTTGTCCAATATTAAGGTGGTTTATTTGCAAGATGAATATTGGGGGGAAGGGTTCAAATCATGTGGGTTAGGAGGATAAAATCATAGGCTTTTCAGTTTGCCACTGTGACTCAGTGTTCCTGTACTGTCTGTCTATTGATCCACTCAATGTCATTCACCCCCACAAGTTCCTAATGTTAACTTCAGGTGAAAAAACAGCAGCATTGTATTGTGTCTTCCTTATGAAGAAGAGATGATTATTTTGGAGAATTTGACAAGAATAATTATCTTTTTCTCTCCACCCCTTTGAATGAGAATGAACAGCAGCAAAATAAACTAGTATTGTAAATTCCAGGAGCTGAAATTGCATCTTTTGGTTGCCGCCTCTATTTTGCATTTTAATGCAACGTTGATGATAACATTTGTCAAAGAAACCTCACAGTCCTTCAGAATCAGAAGGTTCCACAACCACATAATTGGTGCAATGTGGGAAAAATATTGTTTGAAATGTACTTATGGATGCAATTTGCTGTGAAGCTTCTCCCTAAAGTGCATGAATTGTCTCTTCATCTCTGCTGAAAGAAAACTTTATCAGAATAAATCTCCTGCAAGAGTAGATTGGGAACGGACCGAGAAGCTTCCTTTTAAAATTTTGTAGTTTTAATGAAGGGAGTGTCAAGTGCCTGAGTGTAGAGATAGGCCTTGGTGGCCCTGACCAGGTGCACCTGTGTCCTCCACTGCCCAAACCCTTTGCCCATGGGCCCAGGAGCTCTATCTGAGCTCTGTGCTGTCCATTCAGTCCCTGCCTGAGCTATGTTGTAGAAAGGCTCTCACTCAGTTGCTGCTACATCTATGCTTTGGTAAGAACCATAGTGATCTGGACCCTTACCCACAGACTGATCTTCTGCCTCTACTTCAGACCTGCCTCATCATCCCAAACTCGTCTGATGATCTGGACTAGCGGCTGAACCTGTCTGCCATCTCTGGGCATAACCTGCCCAGGTACCATGAGGGAACCCTGGCTCATGAGGCCCTTGCATTGCTGGCTTTGATGCAAAGCTCAGCTCACTTTCTCTTGGGGAGAAACTGGCCTTCTTGTTCCCTGACAGGGAAGGACTAAAGCATTTGAAAAGAAGAGATCCAAAAGAGGATTTTTTGTTAGTTCTTAATTTGCAAGTCTGTGTGAGCTCACTTCTCTGTGTGCAGTCTCCATACAAATCCAATCTCCTGCTCTTCCTAGTCAAGACAGAGGCTTTGATGACATTTTAAAGACTTTTATGCATATGCTGTGTTTTTTTCCTGGCATGTCCCTTGTTGTCTTGTGGTTGAACTGAATGACTGGTTTCACATTTTACTAGGATATTTGTATTTTCTAAATCTCCAGACTTTCACAGAATATTTTCATGTGGCATTGTTTGGGGATGTGAATAGGTACATACAGCTCAGAGCAAGATAACCTGGATGTTGAAAGCAATACAGCAATGTTAGCTGAATGCATTAATTTAAATGTCTGGACTGCACTGTATGAACTAGCATTAGTTAGCTTCTTATTTTCACCTTCACAAAATGAGACAAACTGTTAGGTTTCCATGAGAGAGCTCCCATCCAGGAGCAGCATGACTATCTGGGGCTGGCTGTGCCAGTACTGCTACATGCCGTTTTGTCACTTATCTGCCTGCTGGCCTTTGTGGACTGAGTAAATCCCAGGAGAGCCTTGAATTTGAATTTGCACAGTGGTACTTAAAATCAGGATGCTTATTGTATTTCTATGTCTAATAGGACCACGGTTTCTCTAGCCTTCCTCATTTTCATACAGCCTGCTGGTGCATTGCTATGTTACAGGATGTTGTTTAGCACTGTTATATTTTGTACCTGTTCATTGCTGGCATTTGAGTTGCTGTATTTACATGTGGCCTTCCCAGGCTTCATCCAATGATGGGATGAGTTTAGAGCCCATCTTCAGTATGAGGTGAAAACTCATTCGGGGTGGACAGTTTTCTGAATGCTTAGTTCTTTTACGGCTACTCCAAATGTGCATCTGGGAGTGATAACTGTCCACTTTCTCCTCTTTCTCTTTCTCCAGAAACCACTACCGCTGCAGCACAGCTGCAGGAGGAGGCATGAGAGGAAAATATTACTACACACTCACTTTCAGCATTAAGTTCCCTCACAAAGATGATGTCTGCTACCTGGCCTACCATTATCCCTACACCTACTCCACAATGATGGTAATGCTGATATGTCTGTCTAGATAAGTTAATAAGCCTGACAGATTGGAGCTGCTTAGACATGAGAAGTCTTTGTGATAGCATAGAGGTCTGTTCTCACAAGCAGCTTTTTAACTATCATGATGCTCTCAATGCCTTACTTGTAGCTGTAGCCTCTGTCAGCTCTGGAGCCCAGAATGTTTTAGGAGAAAATAATTTCTGTATGGGATAAGCTGAAGTGCAAACATAACAGTCATAAAATGTCCTAAAATGCAAGACAAAGATGTCTCTACTTGCTTGGACTTGCAGTATCCTCCTGAGAGAAGCAGATATCCATAGCTAATGGCATGTAAGAAGTGAAGGATGCCCACTCCAGCTTCTACCAGAAGATAGCAGCTCAGCTTTCAGAGCTACACGTGCAAGTAGAGCAATAGCACAGTGCTGGGCCTTCTTCAAATATTCTTTGTCAGCTGTTTCATCTGTGCCAGTTGGAGTGTCAGGAGGCATTTGTGACATCCCAAACCAGTGCTGTCAATTTGAAAACTAAAAGAATATGAATCCAAGGCATAAATTGTATTATTTAGTTTTACTGAGCTTATTTCCTGGGGAAGAATTTGTTTTCTCCAGCCTTTTCTGGCTGGGAGTGGATGGTAGAAGAATATTCTGGGAAATGCATCAAATGCATTTTCTCAGATTGATCTGGGAGAGCCCAAGGTCTAAAAGGAAGGTAGAATAAAAGAGGGGAAATGAATGGTTTTGGAGGTTGCTTTGTGACTTTCTCGCTGTTAAAGCTGAGAAAGATATTGCAGAAAATGAAGACATAAGGTTCCTGGAGATCAGTTCCACCCGTGGCAAAAAATAAAAAATATATATTTTTTTTTTAGTTCTGGACATCTAGTGACAGTGTGGGTTGGTGAAATATGGGCTTATTCTAATTTTTACAATGATACCAGTTTGCCATTATCAGATATGAAAGCATACACAGGCTTTCAAAGGAGACTGTCCTCTCTCACTTAGTAGCCATGCAGCTTTGTATGCTGCCAGCATAGCTTGGATTAGATTAATTCCCTCTCAAAAAACAGTCTCTTGTCAACTGCTTTACATCCCATTATGGATGTTCAAAGAAACTGCTTTCAATAGCTGGGAGAAGGCCAATCAGGCCTTCACAGTCCAAGCTATGCCTGCCAGCTCACTTCTCATCAGGCTTACGGGCACCAGCTATTCCTCTGAATCAATGAGAAGGAGAACATGCCCTAGTTGTGGGTTTTGACCTATAGCCTTAAAGACACATATATACTGCAGTCTGCAGGGTTTTACAATTACAATTGTAGTACTGAAGAATTGGGTAGACTTATTCACCACCATACTTTATTATGGAGATGCAGTGCCTCATCACTATTTTACTGTTATTGATTTCTACCTTCTGCTGGCACAAAAGCAGGGGACTTGGAGAATTTGTATGCTCTGGGAATCCCTGAATATCTCACCTACTCTGGAATGAATTGAATAGAGATGAAAAAGATGTTATTCCTAGACTTGCAGGACCAGGTCTTGAAGTATTTCACTGCCTCTTCAAATAAAATGCTTATTGAAGTTCAAGGAAATTTTTGCCCCAGGAAAAGTTTAAATGAACTCAAGCTCAGTAAGGACCATAAAATTTTGTAAATGGGAATTATAAGTGGAAAAGATTGATAGATTGTTCTGTCCAGCTCTTTATCCAAAGCAAAATTGTTGCCTCTAATATTTCTAAATGGCTTATTTGCTTGGACTAATTTAAAATGTCTTGAGTGATGCAATTTGCACATTTCCATGTTACTTTAATTTCCACAGTGAATAAGCTAAATCAGGTTTGTGCACCAGTAGATCTTATTTTAAAGCATTTGTCCACTGGTGAATATGTTGGTTTTACATATCAGTAATAAATTAAAAGTGATTAGGTACCCAAGGGCTCAATTAAATACATAATGCTTTGGGGAAGAAGATAAACTTGGATACGAAGTTAGTAATTTGGAAATGTTTTTAAATATCATATATATTTAATTGTTACAGGCATGTTTACAGGAAATACATATTGCGGAATCCTATTTGAACTGGATGCACTCTGCAGTTCATTACTTTTTGTCCATTAGTAATTATATTTATTTTATGAACAGTAATTTATCAATTTTTTCATCATAGTGTTAATTGTTTAGATATCTAGCTGAAAACTCTATGGCAGCTATACCCAATTAAGTTTCACTGGGTACCAGAAGCATAAGTAAAAGATGAATATTGAGTTCTCTGTATCTATGTGAGATCTTTAAATGGGTCTAATAATTGAATTTACTTTATAGAGCAGTACGTTAATTATTTTATGACACAGATGAGTCTAAATTTCAGTTCTGTGTTTTCTTTCAAAAACTCTGGGAAAAGCAGTCTGCAAGATGGTAAAGTTCAAGGTTTTGGGAATAGAAATAGTTTGTTTCTTAAACATTGGCTGAAATTTACCCCTGACTTCTAAACATAAAAAAAATTACCATGTAAAGGCTATTATGTGAACTGACGCATTTTAGTTAAGATTATTTTAGGATGAGCGTGCATACTGCAATGTACCTGTTTCTTCCAGTCTAGAGGCAACTGCTGCTCCACAACAGTTAGCGACACTGCAATGAGATTACTTACCGTATTATTGCCACTTGCAATTGCAACGTAAACAGGGAGAGAGAGCCACTGAGAACTGCACATCATCTGGTGTGTGGGTGGTGAGCGGCTATGTGTCTAATGAGGCGATTAAAACTAGTTCCAAAAAGATTTAAAAGATTTTTTTTTTTTTTAGGCTGCCAATTCTTTTTCTCAAATTTCTCAAGAAGGTTTTTTTTTTGTAAGAATTATTTAAAACTGACAACCATAAACTTTGGGGGGTGGGGGATGGACGACTTTTTAAGTAACTTTTTGGAAAGATGCTCTTACTCACTTTCCCCAATAGTGGCTGTACAAAACTGTTTTGATGTAAATTTTTTGACTGCCTCTGGTCTGGACTTGTTCCTGAGTCTCACTGACATGTGCTTGACAGCTAACCAGTCAGTTCTATAAATACTGAAAGAAAGACAATTTTTCTCATGTTACATGGTCCCTAAGAAAATGTAAGGAGTATGCAGTTCTTTTATGGACTTCATGTACACATAGAAACCCATTTTTGCTAATAAAGAAAAAACCTAGGAACAGTTCAGGTAAAATGATACACGAGTAATAGACCTGTGCAGCTTCAGTGAACTGGGCTGTGTTCTGAATGGCTTATGCTTACTGAAGGTATGTAAAAGGAGATACTGCTAACTAGCATACGAGAGGAGCTGGTAAATTAGCAAGAGATGAAATTAATACCAATAATCACATAGAGACAGTGGAATAAAATCAGTTTTTATAAATCATGAACTCATAAATCTGTTTTCTTGCTTCTTTCGTAGGCTCATCTTGACATTCTGGAACAAAATAGGAACCCCAAGAAGGTTTACTGGAGGAAGCAGACGCTCTGCCAGACGCTAGGAGGAAATCCATGCCCATTGCTCACAATCACTGCCATGCCAGAGTCTAAAAAAAGCGATGACTTGGAACAGTTCCGTAAGTAGCCAAATGAAGCATTTAAAAAGTTACTGGTGACGTGTGGTCATGTAAGGAGTGGCACTGACAACCTGTTTTGTGGATATGTTGATTTTCTTGCTTTTCTCATTGTGAAAAAAAGAAATATATATATCAAGAATAGCAAATTACAACACTTCTTTTAAATGACAAATTTATACGGAGGAGGGAGAATACCTAACATCATTCTTTACTTCAATTTTTCTTTAATAATCTGAAACAGAAAGTTCAGTATCAAATATCTCCAATGTCAAGAAACTTCTCGAGTAACCAATTCAAAAAGAAATTTGAATTTTTTTTTGTTGTTGTTGTTGCCATTCCAAATTGAAAAGATTTATTTATTTTAAAGTTTCAAACTTGCCAAAGAAAAAATACAAGATCATTCTTTCCCAGATGTATGTAGTAATTAAAGTGTCCTGGTCAAATTCCAGATCCTCCAACATGCCTGGTAGCTCCATCTGGACATACTATGGCTTCTTGCATTTTGTCAGTCTTAGCTGATGATGTGGTAATTATAATAGCTGCCATGTTATATCTAGAGATAGTTATTTTTCATTGTGAAAGTCAAAGATTTAGACCTCCAGTGGCCTTGATTAACAATGTTAAGCTATATAAGTTTCTGTAATCAACAGCAAGTGACAAGAAGATTCTGTTCAGCATCACATTGGATTAGCTTTGTCTTTCGTGTCTAAATGTCAGACTACCTATATGTAGGTTGACATAGAAGGGAAACTTTTTTCCTGAGTCTGAAGCAAGGCAAAAACATATTTTTTTTTTCTGCTCTTTGCATATCTGTAACACAGGTGGAGAACATCTAGGGAGTGTGGAAATTTAGATTGCCTTAAATCTCTTAGCTTGTTATGCAAATATATATTATCTCACAGAGAGATTAGGCTAGGTATATCCAAAGAGATTCTGTGATATGAACAACATTTCTTATCACAGAATTCTCTTTTCAGGGATACGTGGGAAGTCAGACTCCGCACAATGTCCATTCCAAATTTATAAACTAAAAGGAAGCTCACGTAATAGAGTTTGGGAGAAGTTATTGCCGTCTTCCCGGGTTTAGGTTAGAGCACAGTGGCTGCAGTTATGCTGACATTACAGTATAATCATCCTGAGCTCAGACATCTTTATAATTGTTGGTAAGTTTTCATTCAGGGAGCATTTACATTAGAATTAGCATGTTTCTGAACATGAATATAGTTTCCTAGGTTGAAATTTTAAAGCAAAATGGCAAAAAATTGCCAACTACAGCCTACATGGGAATTCATAAGATGCTTGCACATAAACGGCCTTAATGGTGGGAACTGGAGGCAGTGTCAGAGAAAATTGGATCATTGGCACTGCTATTATTAGTAGTATTTACATTACAATATCACATACAGCACTCAAATAGGGAGTTTGGCTGTGGTGGGTGCTGTCCATGCTTAACAGGAAGAGAAAATTCCTGCCCTTAAGCACTTTTGTTCCATGATAATAATGCTACAGAACAGAAAACCAGTGGGTGGGAGTTGTGGTGGTAGAGGGTGGTTATGTAAAGAAGTCTTTGGCATACTGCAGATGGTCAGCTGGTTAGATGTTAGCTGTTGACAGAAATTTTCAAACCTCATGGCAGACAGTCTCAATAGGGCAACTGAAAGTAAATTGGAATTAGGGGTTGGAGCCATGCAAGAGAGGCATGAAGTGAACAATTTTTTTGTCCAAGTAAATATGCTTTTCCAATGAGGGTGCAAAGTAAAGGGTAAGGTAATGGTTGGATTTATCAAAGTAAGGACTTGGAGTGGGTCAGTCACATGATACATGAATGTGCTGACCACTGGATTAAGCACGTTTGGTTTTGATAGGACTGCAAATTCTTGCTTTTCTGACATAGGAAACTTAAAAAATAATTAAACAAACAAATAAACAAACAAAGAAACAACAACAACAAAAAAAAACAACCAAACAAAAACAAAACTTCAATTTTCCAAAACAGAAAGCAATGGCCTTGCTTTATGACCAACCCAACAACATGCCAACATCTACAGATAGGCAGACATGATGATCAAGTTAAAAACTCTGGAAGAAAATCACCAGCCTGCACCAATGGAGGTAAAGCAAGAATAGCTAAGGATGTTTCCACCTTTGGTGTCAGCCACCAGAGGGAACTGTAACTGCATATGGTAATAATGTGCCAGACTGTATATCATCTTACATTGGATACCTTGATCTGAAAAATTATTGTACCAGGCGTGGTACACTGGGGAGAATGATTGTCCTCTGTGCATGCAGGACTTGTATTTGTGACAGTTGAGAAGTACAGACATACTGAAATGAGGGTTGTTAGGAAATGACAACACCATATTGACCAGTGCAATCATACCCCCCCAAAGTCGCACTGCTTTTAGGGAGTATTATGAAATATATGTGACAGGAGGCATTACCTTTTTCTGGGGCACTCTATCCCCTGAGAACGCATCTTTCAGTGTTGAAATAGTGTCTGGCAGGCTTTCAGAAGTCACTAACCTGTCTGGAAAGGCAAGGTTTGCACAATCCCAGTGCAGTGTAGGCTTGGATATTCATTCAGTACAGATTTACTGGAAGATTCATGAAGGATTTGTGAACATTTTGGACAGGTACTTATTCTGAATACCTCAGGATATTGTAATATTCACCATTTGTGTTCAAATTCTAGTTATGTGGCTCAAGTCCTCTTTATTTTTAAGAGAGAAATACCTCCTGGTTTGTGATCTTACATGAATTCAGTAGGAACTCATAGTTCTGACTGAAATTCCATGAAATTATGTGCCAGTAAACTCTTCTGCTGGAGCTTTGCAAGGAAATGAGATTGACTTCCTAAATCTCTCTATGAACCAGTTGAACTCAATCAAAGCAGAATGTGTACAAACCCACTTGCCTGAACTGAAATAAAAATTGTTTGGGGGAGAGACAGTGTCAAGGAAAGGCAACACATTTTCTCTTAAGTTTCCAAAACTATAAATGTAAACACCAATACTCTTAGGTGATGAAAATATTTGTTGTTTTATCAAGTGGAAGAACAGCAAGCGCACCATGTGTTTTATGCTGTGGGGATGCCTCCAGGCAAATGTGAATAATTATATATATACTTATTTCGTATAAGCAGCTTGGATAATTATGGCTTTGGGGGACGCATTTAGCTTAATTTGTGCTGCTTTTTGTGGCTTTGATCAACAGTTGCTTCTTAGCTTCCTCATCTTGTACGACATGCCCTTCTCTCTATGAATTGGGTTGGCTGATGGAGGGGCCTGTTTGTCAATATTTTCCAGGCTGAAAACATAACTCAAAAGCAACAACTATGCGGGAATCAAAGGATGGAGACTTTCTCAGTAGTAACTCTCACTGCTTTGTACAGTGTCTATGCATATGCATTTCAGCTTGAGAAGTGATGTGGAGCTCCAGCACTGGGAAACTTGGCACACGGGTGATGAATAAAAATTGATAGCCCTTGTTCTTTCCTTCTGTTTCCAGAGTTCTGTACAATTCATAGTTCTCATGAGCTATAGCCGTTTTACTCTCCTATCAAATTTGTTATTTCTGCTTTGTACATTTGTTAATCTGCGCCTTGAGAGGTTCTTTTCAATAATACCAGTGGTGCAGGTAAAATACAAAGCTCTTCAGGGCTTCATAGCCATTGCTCGTGATTGTACTTTTAATACTCTAAATCCTTCTCTAGTATAGATGCGTGAGGAGTGGGAAACATCACTGATGAAGAGGCATTGGGTGAGGAGTGCTGGGAGGAGACCGTGATACTCCTGATAGGAGCTCAGTGAGGAGGAGTTATTGCACTACTGGAGGTGCTGATAGAGTGGGAGCGACCCAGGGATGATGAGGGCATGGCATCTTCTGTGTCAGCTGTGCTTTATTTTCCTCGCTCTACTCTTTCAGATTGGTCTTGTCAGGCTTTTGATTAATGTGGCTCTAGGATGGTTAAATTTGTCTGAGTTAAATTTATTAATGTGCACCTTGTTAATAGGAAGCACAAGCCGTGCACGCTGACAGGAGCTGCACATTCACCGCATACTAAAGGGAAGAAAAATGGGCTGCTGTTTTTCTTCATTATGCGTAGTTTATGTGAGGCTTTGATATCCACGTAGGCTCCTTTCTCATTCCTCTCTATCTCCTGTTTATGTGATGGTGGTGTACTGAATTATTTTTATTAAATGATCAATTCTGAAACTGATATGAGGAGAGAAAGAAATAAGCCAGGTACTCTTTGACTCCCTTTGTTTTGTATCACTGTCGTACAACATCTCAGATACAAACAGCACAACAACTTCTCTTCAAACTTAATCAGTTTGTTGTTATCTGTGTTTTCCATATTCCTCCTTCCTCCTTCTTTTTCATTCTCACAGAGTTACACTCTGCAAATTTGGCCTTCCATATTATGTACAGAACTTTTCTTCAGAAGACTGTAGCTCTTCTCAGAATTATTTAAAACATAAAACTAAAACAGCATTCTGCAAGCTCCTGTGAGTGTGGTGAGCTAGTACACCGTGCCTGCCTTGGATGTTGAATCACAACTTGTAAACCTTTTGAAAATGAGAGAAGTGGAGAGTGGAAAGAATGGCTGGGTAGGCATTTACTCTTTGGCGACTTTGCTTGTGACTGTGTCAGATCTAGACTTAGACATTGTCTGATGAGAGGGACTTTCCAAGAAAGCAATTCTCAACATCTTTCAGGAGTGTTCTTAAATGCAGAAGCAGCAAGAATGACAAAGCTTCAAATATTGGTGCTAAGTCTGTTTAATGAAGTTTATTGGAGCTTGTAGAGCTCTGATTTTCTTGGGCTTACCCTATATAGTCCCATGAAGACAGTGTTAACATAATGTGTGTACTTAATAAACCCTTAATTCACAGTGTTATGTATTCAAATGTGCATTATGTGTCTGTGTTCTACCAAACCTCTCTGGCAGACAGAGTTTGCCACTGCAGTTAACCTATGTTCAACAGAAAGATCTC